AGGGAGCAAACATGATCCGGGGGGGGGAAGGGGGTGAAGAACCAAAGGGAGCCAACATGATCCTGGGGGAAGGGTGTAAAGAACCAAAGGGAGCCAACATGATCCTGGGGGGGGAAGGGTGTGAAGAACCAAAGGGAGCCAACATGATCCTGGGGGAAGGGTGTGAAGAACCAAAGGGAGCAAACATGATCCTGGGGGAAGGGTGTGAAGTGCTAGGGAAGCTGGAAGAAAAGGCAGAGACAGACACAGAGGTGGCACTGGCTGCAAAGGAGAGAAAAACTAATGCACCAGAGGAAGATCTCTGAAAAATTCCAACTCTTCTGGCCAAGGTTCCCTGGCTAGAACAGCACTCTATATTTTAATTGTGTGTCCAACTGCCAGTCGTGCCAAGAGTGCCTCCCTGTTCTCTCCCTGTCCCAGGCTGAGCTTACAGTAAGATGTAGTTTGCAAGGAGACTCGATAACCAAGGTGGGGTGGCTCCATATCTTGATTTATTAATGGTTTTTTTAAGCCATGCTGCTGTGCTGAAAGGGAAGACAGGGACCTGTACTTCAGCTTTTAAAGTCAGCCCAGCTGTACGTGTGAATGGCTAACTCTTGCTGAGACAAGCTGTGGGAAAGAAGTGGTCTCCACTTACTTTTAATGTTGGATTTGTTTTTAATTCATTCAAGCTGCAGAGACCTTGAGAGGATGATGCACTTGACCTTTGATACTGTTTCCCTCCTCCTCCAAGTTTAAAAATACGTGTTACAGGCACTACTTCCTTTTTTCCTCCTTGCGCTTCTGGAGAGGCTCAGCCCTGCAGCAGACCAGGAGCAGCTGGGGGCAAGAGGCTGTTTCTCAAAAAGAGACTTCTCGTTATGGAACAGCCAAATGCTTTTTCTTTCATAGAGAAACACTTAGCAAGGTGGGATTTTCTTTTTAAGCATGCCAGTTTGCAGTGGGATTATCTTTCCTGGTCATATAAATGACTTTGGGGATTATTGGTTTGTGGGAGTAACTCCATGCATGAAACCTCTTGTAGCCATTAAGAAGCTGGCAAATGAGGCAGCTTTTGCCAGCAGTTACTCTGCCACGGCAATAGGATATCCTGTTATTAAAATAGGTGCTGGCTACTGTCCCAGTAAACAATGCTTTGTAATCATTCCTAACGTAATTTATTTTGGTTACTTATGTCCTGGTGTGGTCCTTGTGCTAAGGCTGGAATAACAGCAAGCAGACTTCAGAATAAAGTGTCACCTGCGTTCAGGGAAATACCTGTCTCCTGCGTGTATGTAAAGCTGCAGCGTTACGTTGTCCCTTTAGCCTGAGTAGGTAAGAAGCTTGTATTGAACCAATCATTTCTCTGGGTGACTTGGATGTTCTCTAATCTTGCTGGAGGGAGAAAAATTATTTTAGCAGGTCCCATGTTCTGCCTCAACCTTCAGTAGAAAAGTATCTTCACTATTTGGTCCCGAAGGCTTCTGCCTGCCCTCTCGAGGTTGACCTGCACTCAGCTGTCTCAACCCTTACGTTCTGGCCTCGCTGGTACCGCAGAGGCTTCCCGGCGGTAATGCTGCCCGTCCCGCCCGAGAGGGAAACGTCGGTTCCCAGGCCGAGCCTACCCCCACCGGCTTTAATGCCTTCGGGCTTTAGCGTCCCACAGAACACCGGGTACCCGCAGGCAGTGCCTGGGGCTGGGGCAGCGGAGGGCGCCGGGC